TGCTGCCTGTTCATCAGCAGCATGCTTTGGCTTCCCTTTTCTCCATACAGCTGCATGCATAACATTCTAAGAGAAGTAGTATTCTGAAACAGACTATTCACCCATTAAATTAGTTTTCATCTCAAAATTTGGTTAAACAGAAAACAATACACATAAAAGCATATTAACATCCATGTTTGCAACTAAGGGAGACATGGACAAATTTCAATTGAGTATCTGTTGACTTAAATATCCACACAAAGAAAACAATGGCTTGATCTGTCCTAACATATTCTTAGGTGTGTACACATACACACATATACAATGTCCTTTAAGGCTCAATACATCCTTGCCAACATTGAAACAAATTTGAAGACATGGCAGATGCTGGTATTCCTGAACATTATGGGGATTTGAAAGGTTCTTCCCTCTTCAAAAACTGTGTTTAAAGATAAACAAAACAAGAAAAAAATTTTTTTTAAGGGATGCCACTAAAACTAGGTCAAATCATTTTTACTTCAGCTGACATGATAGATAGGAGAGCTCCCGCACATGACAATTTCTGATCTTCACTAAATTTACTTAAGCTCATTTCAACCTAAGGATCTTGAGGGGTGACAATATAAATCCAGTTGCCAATGCAAAGGTGAGCAGATGGCGTTGCTCTGCTGGGGAGCCGAGATGGAATAGCACATAAATGAGAAAGCAATCTCCTGATGGTTTGCTGTGTTTAATGCCTGAACTGAGAACTGGAGTAGAGCCAACCTGGCTTCCAGCCAAGGTCTTCACTGGATTCAAAGGAACCCCACAGCAGTTTTCCTTCGACAGTAGCTACCAAATGAATATTTGCAGGTAGTACTAAGTACTGATACAAAGTACCGATTAGTACTCCTTGATGCAAACCACAGTGAAAGGGAAGGCATTCTCCTTTTTGACTCAGGAAATAAAAAATGAATCCCTAAAGCTGCCCTCTCCCCTCTTTTCTCAGTTTTGGAACAACTCTTCGGTATGCACAAGTAATGAAAACTATTGCATTTAAGATCTGTAGAACTGCTACTCTCTAAATACTACTCTTTCTAAAATTTTTCATCCTCTTTTGCTTTATTAAAACTGTGAAACAATATTAGGAGCACATCTAATTTCTACCAAAGTCAACAGGGGTCTTTTGGTTGACTTTTCGGGTACTTGGATTAGGTCCATAAGCAGCGAGTAAACAGGTAATTCAGTGTTCAGAACCTCCTTCTAGAATTAACATAGCCGCTGTTTCAGGGAAAAGGTTAATTTTCATTCCAGTAAGCAAGGTCTCCAGCCACCAGAAGAAAATTCAGAACCTGGATGCAGCTCCACTCTGATCACAAAGAAAAAAAGTATTTGAATGCATATGATTTAAATTTAAATCCGTGTTGATTCAACCACCCCCTTCTTCATTCTCACCCTTTTTTCCCCTCCTCCGAAAGGCAGGGTACATTGCCACTTAAGATAATGTCACATTTTTTACTTCAAGGTACGGCATTCAGTGCTGTAAAGCAAGTCTTTCAGGTAGGTGAGGGGGAATGAAAGTGACTGTATATCTATAATCTCACTGTGTGGACCTACTGTTTAAATCAGCATTGAGTGCTATTTCCAGGATACGCTGCTTTCTTACAGAGCAGAGGATATACAGAGATGGCTGACCTCATTCTTCAAGTTTCTTGCCAGGAAGTGTTCAGCTACGTGGGCTGGAAGCACATTCTCCAGAAGCACCCGATTTAGGTTCTCCATGGTTTCGATCTCTTCCCGCTCTTTTTTGAACTTGTTCTTCCACAGGAAGTCTAACCTACAGTAATATTCATTCTGTTACAAGAGGACACAGAGGTAAAGAAACAATAGGCATCTTGTCCTGATGGAGTACAGGTTTAAGAGACAAAATAAGCACAGTACACCACCCCTACAAGGCTATTATTTGGCCACTCAAGTACAATTACAGATCACAGAGAAATCAAATGCCAATCACACACTATGTGACATACATTTCATCAAACTTACAAGCCCCCCCCGCCCCGCAAAAAGGCCCAGGAAAAAAAAAAAAGGCAAGGTGCTTTAAACAATGAAGCTGTATTTATTTACTCTCAGGCTTTAGTAGAAATTCATTCCAGAAATCAAACACCGTTATGGAAACAATTTACAGTTTTATAACTTAATATGGTGACTTATTTATCTGCAGTGTAGAATTTCACTTAGAATAATGGGCATTTCAGGAAGACCCGAACTTTCACCAACTTGAACTTCTGTCATGCCATCAGCCTGGTAAAAAGTGGGCAGTACAAGAAAAAAGCAGTCTGTTGATATAATATGCCTTTAGTTTATCAAATCATTATCAGGTTGTCAAAAATGGCCCAGTCAGTTGGGCCAACCCAGTTCTGGGTTTTTTTTTGTTTTGTTTTGTTTGGGTTTTCTTTTTGTGTTGTGGTGGTGCTGTTTGGTTTTTGTTGTTCATTTTTATACTGCTTTCTATAATACTGTCTCCTTCTTTTCTTTTTGTCCCAGAGTTTTCATAATTGTTTTTTAACATCCCCAACAATAACAATAATTGGAACTACATGGAAATGTATAACATTCCTGGAATAACAGCATTTTTGGAGATCCAATTTCATTAAAAGGAAGCTGAGAAATGAATAAAAATGCATTTGTTTTGGAGCTCTCGCTACTTCTTTTCAATATTGTGAATGTTTTGTCATAAATTCTATGGCATTATTTCTACAGTGAAGCCTCCGCTTGCCTGACTATCTCATTTGAGCTGATATAAATCAAGAGCTATTTCAATGTAGTCCAGTGGTTTAACGCTATCATGCAGCCTCAGTGAAGACTATGTTATTAACCAGGAGAACATGATTATGATGACAATCTTATTATAGAAAAACCTAAAAATGCTAGCTAGTATCATTAGCAGTCAGTGAGCATTCACATCCAAATGAGAGCAGTCCTTCTGATTGGACAGTGGCTGTCACAGTTCAAAATGATTCAGAGATATTTTGTTGAGACCACAGCCAAAGCTAGAGCAGAAAGTTGAAATGAGGTATTAAAATGATTTGGCAAACTTTTAAATATGTCTATTACATATTTATACATCCAAGATCCCTACATAGATGATAAATTCAAATGCCATCAATTGTATTAATGCAGAAAAAATACAATAAAAACCTGGGATGTCAAGTTATTTGCATAAATTGACAAAAGCAAACTGGATGCCTGGCATAAAACTGAAATTAGGTATCCATACATTGTGCCAACTTTGTATTGAAAAGAAAAGGTGCTAGATAAACTGAAGTCTTCAGAGAGATATATTTCTTTTTTAAGAGCTAATATTAAACAGATAATTTATTTTTATAAAATAAATTATTTATTATTTATTGTGTTATTTATTGAATGAAATTTAGGCTGCCACAAAAAATGGCAGAGAACTCAGAAATCACAAAAAAATAAAGCAGAACATATTCTACAGTTCACTTTGAAATTAAAAAAAGTCAACAAATCATATTTCAAAATGTCTGTTTAGACTTTTAAAAACAAAAAAGCACTGACTTACTAAAACTCACTTTAAATCATGCTTTTTTTTATTTGTATGGTCTAGCCAATTTAGTATGCACATCGTTAAAGATCCTGTTCAATCTTTGTAGCCTTGCAGTCATATAAAAACCAGGGTTGTTTCCTACTTTACCTGTTATCTCCAGAACCTTTTCAACATGTCAGAATGAAAATATCTCAGAATGGCCCTTATACATCTGCAGGCACAATATCCTTGAGATACAAAATTTTCCTTCTTCACATTATGCTGCTTTACTCAACAGCACTTCCCAGCGGGCGAGCATGGCGGACCACCCAGGGAGGCATGAAGGACACTGCATTCCTGCAGGCACCACTGAGCAATTCCCTTCCTCCAGGACAAGAGACTACCATGCACCTCTGCGAGGCAGTGCAACGCAACCCCAGAGGTTCAAATCAGTGGTAACTTCTTGGGCAAAAGCAGTTAAGTGCAACAAAAACTGATTCATGTCTCATGTTTATCTATATTTTTAAATTCTAGTGGAACACTCATCTAGATCTATTTTCAATATTTGTCTCAGTGGGGCAATGAACTAATTTTCATCACTGAAAGAGTGTCACGCAGAAAGTCAAGATAAGGAGCTCAAGAGTAGCTGCCTATGCCGTAGGTGTCTACAGTCAGGGGAGATGAATGCTATGGCACTCAGCAAAGGAAGCACTAAAGCAGGTAAGATCACTAGAAATTAAACCTCAGTTTTCATTCTGGTGAGGCAGCTAAGGAAATTCCACCTCCCAGCCATTACAGCAAGTCTGAGAAACTGTCTCAACATGGAGCACCAGCAGAAGATGTCTTAGAATACATTAATAGGTTGATCAAGAAGAGGTCATCAGCTCTGAAGTAACCAAAATGAAAAGGTGCACGTCTGAATCTTGTGGTGGATAGCCTGATCATTCAAAACAGCCACAGTGTCAGAGAACTTACAAATGGTAATGATCTTTGGAAAAGAACTGGGGTGACCCTGGGAACAATACAGCAAGCTACTTTGGGGAAAAAAAAAACCAACTATGCTAAGGAAAAGAGCTATTTAGACATAATAGCTAAAGCTGATATAATGGGGAAGAGTTGACACCTCTCCTGTAAACATGCCTCCATTTGCTACAAAGAAGTCAATGCGTGTGTGAATAGGAGTGAAGTTTCAAATAAATTTTTCATTAAATTCTTTCAGAAGAGGCTCTTGAAAAGACTACATTATCTGAGAAGGATCCTCTCACAGAATAAAAGCTCACTAAAAAACACAACAGAGACTACAAATAAACAGTTTTCATGGCTGAGTGAAGTTGCCATAAACATCTGAGCAGTAAAACAGCCAATGAAGTTCAGTGTTGATAAACACAATATAATCAATCAGAAACCCCAAAATATTCACCTAGCCTACAGAGTAATGGGATACGTGTAATTTTAGGTACTGATGAGGAAGGAATTCACAGGCTATGTCAATACTGGTTATTCCAACTGGGCCATGAGAGAGATTTAATGCTCAATAGTGTTTACATGGGAGCACGCTTCTTACATAGTCTAGCCCATACCAACCTGCATTCTCCCGGGCAATGCCTGAGCAGGGTGCAAGAGTCGCCATTCTCAAAGTATCGTCTGCCTGCTGCCAGCCTATTTTCAAATAACTCTAATAGCATGCCTGCAGAATGAAATGTGTAACTTGATCTAAGTGCCAGGGAATGATTGTAGCCTATGCTGGCGTGACTTCTGGCGGCTTACCCCATCCTACGCTCATTCTTTTGGCACAAGCATCGCTGCAACCACACCATAAAACTGGATCAGGAAATAGATCTGGCTGAAACCCAACCATTTTTCCAGGGTTAATTTTTAAGCCAGACCATTTCCCTATTTTGGGCTAATATATAGCTCCACAGGCAGCTGTGCAGTACAAGTGAGGAGATACAAGGATAAGAATGAGAAGCTGAGGGAAGGCCTCCTTCTTTCTGTAGGGATGCTGGCTGTAGAGCTAAAAGTATTAGCTGGACCTGAGAATTAAGTTGGATCATGTCACATGTAATGATGCACCAGCTCTCCCTCTCTTCATCCCCATTCAACCGGAAATACACATTCCCCCTCCTGCTTTTGCATCAGGAGAGTCATCTCTCTGACCAGTGGTGAGCAGGTTCCCAGAGCTAGGCTTGTAGGAAAGCATTCACTTTTTGTTTAGGTGAACTTTCTGGTTACTCACTCTGGGGATAGAAGAGCACCAATGCCAGTTTAAGGGAAACGGGAAGACCACCCTTTTCATCAGTGGCCATTATCTTTAGCATTGGTAAAATAATCAGATATTAAGAGAAGAGAAAAGACGTTATTATCTGCAAAGTAGAAAAATGCAATAGCAAACAGAGAAATTACTTGTATATTACCTTCTGTGGAAGAAGGGTAATGAAGAATTTTACTTTGCCTACACTGCCAAAATGGCTCCAAAGCATTCTGCAAGTGCCACTCAATGAAAGTGGCAGGCAGAAAGTTTAAAAACAAACAAGAAGATGGACATCTTCACATGACTTTTTATCAAATTGTGAAATTCATTTTCAGACATGTTGGGAAGACCAGGATGATAAAATGGGTTAAAAAGGGGTCAGACAGTGTAACAGAAAGCAGAGCAACCAATAGCTATTAAACACTGCCACAGAAATGCCGACTGGCAGAAGGCGGGAAGCATACATACCTGGAAGGGTTGCTCTATGCAGGTTCACTTCCTCCCCTATTCTTTTCCCGAGCATTTGCTACCAGTCAGTATTACTAACAGTAACTTAAAATGGCAGGTCTTATGACAGGTATGTACTAAAAATTAGTCCATAGCATTTTCTAGTTATCAGTTAGACTTTGCTTGAGAGTGTTTGAAAACACAGAGGTTTTTTTTCTCCTTCTTTAAGGGAGAATAAATTAGCAGAAAAATCAAAGGCAACAGACTGAAGAGCTACAAACAAGTGGTATCATGACAAGGATCCTGGACCTACAGATCTGAAAACAAAGACTTTTTCCATTACAGGATCATTTTTCAGTTGCTGTGACAGGGAACAACACATGCACGCTGCTGTCATATGCAAAACAAACTTTCTTGCTGATGTGACTGAACCCACAAAGAAATACTCTCCTTGCTCAGTGAAGCTGACGTTCCTTCTCTCCTTTTTTCTTTGTGTCATACCCACAACCTCCACCTGACACCTTGGTTGACGGGGGCTAAAGGTTCTCAACTGGTGAGATGAAGTATTTATCCCTTTTTCTGAGTGGAAGTAGCTGTGCTCCAGCCCCACTCTCTGCTACTGTCATCAGATGAGCAAACTCTAATATGGTACTGGCAGCAAGGCAGATGAAGAATGTTATTTCCTACGCAAGAAGGATGTTGCCTGCTACAGCAAATACTGAAGGAGCTGCCAGATAAGAATTTTTTCTCTAGTAACCTGCAGGGCCTGCTTGGCAATTTAAATGACAGTCATTATGTTTCGGGGAATTGTAATGTACATGAGTGATTTAAAGACAGGACGGGATAAGATCCTTCCCGGCGCTGCAGGCTACGGAGGTACAGGCTGTTCATGAGATCTCACGCGGATTGCCTCTTCCATCTCAGAGCCCTGTCTTGTGCACTGCATCATTCCTGGCACAACTGGCTGGAACTGTAGCTTTTAGCTTTGGAGCATGTACAGACCCAAGGATTGAGAGAGGGAACTGCCATTGCACCTGCCCTCAACTTCGTAGAGGGTGAGACCATTGACATCACGTTTGTACTGAAAAAGCACAACTGGTGTAATAAAAACAGTAGTTTCCCGTTGGGTCATAGTTTTAGTGCAACTGTGGCCTCAGCATGTGGTACACGTCTGTGTGCATGCTACATTGTTTCTGTGTCTGCATCAAATGGTAATAACTGTGAAGAAAATAGCTTGTAATTAAGCAACTAGGGAGACAGCAGATGGATGCAGACAGATGGGAGCACACTAGGAAGCTATGAGACAATATTGGTCAGCATGACAAGCAATAGTTACAGCACACTATCAGCATAATGTCTACAGTCTCAGTGACAGTTATTGGTGAGTTTTAAGGGCATACTGGAAAGTAATAAAGAAAATAGCTTTTTAGACGCTTCTGACACTCCTTCGCAAAGGCGTGGGGCAGAACGGAATAAAGGTGTTTGTCAGAAAATCTAAAAAAATGTTGGAGAAGGTGGGAGGCTGAATGTGGAGGCTGGCAGTGTGTCCACTGATGCAGATGAAGAGAAGTGTGGATCTTACCTGTCTACCCAAAACCAGTAATGTGACGAAGAATATAAACAAAGAAATTGAGCCCATTGTCTTCAGGTCTTTCAGTATTCCTGGCCTACAAAATAAAAACATAAGTAAAGCAGGATGCTCAAAAGTTAAAACAAAATTACTTTAGCACAAGAATAAGATGACAATTTATACTACTTTCTGGCATTTAAATAAGACCATTTAAATATGATATGCTTTATTATTTGATGAAATGTTATTATTTCCCTTATGCAGCTTTAATTACTTCTACTACATTCTGTGCAAATGTGCCTACATTTTGAAGTCCAGTAATAAGATGAGGATTTATTAAAAACAATATCCTGGTTTGCTTACAAATGGAGAGCATTTGTTGCTTATTCTATACAGGCAGATTAAAAAGAGATTTTTTTACATAGTAACACTACTTCCATAATGGAGAGCTTGACCATATCCAACAAATGCAAAGAAACAGAAACTAAAGCACCTAACTCCCAAGATGCTTTTTCACCTCAGAATTATAGAAGGCACGAACTAGATCTTGTACAGAGTTTACCAAAAACATAAAGACCTGGGTTTGTTTATTAATCTTTAGATTTAAGAGCAAAGAAAACATGCACTCGTTTTTTAATTCAGATGCTTTTCTGTGATTGTCTCCTTGTCCTAAAGATCTCAAGCAGTTTACAGCACAGTAAAAACGATACTGAAACCCTACTCTGAATATTCAGTTTTTCTGTTGTGGCATATGCACTACACACTCGCCCTACAGAGAAGAGAATCACCTCCTTGTTTTGAAAATGAGGTAGAAATTACATGTGTCCAGAAAATATTTTACACAGCAATACTCAGAATTAGGGTCATAATTTTGGTCTTATATATTATCACCTATAACAAAGATTTCAGCAGTCTCACTGAAAATTTAGCATACAAATTTTCAATCACAGCAAAAAAATCCAAACTTTTGCTCTACTATTTTGTTCAATAGCTAAGACTGCATTTGCAAAGTTTTAAGACAATGTACTAGTTCTGCGGAAGTTGGTTTTCTTTGGCTTGCAGCAAATATGCTTTAACAGCCTTAATTATGTTCAGCCTTAGGCCTTAACAACCTTAATGATTACTTCTTCCTAATGTCCTTTATTAAAAAAATGCAAATTAAACCATACTCTATTTCCTATATGTGATTTAAACACCTTGCCCAGACTTATTTATTTTTTTCTAATGCTCTGAGGTGTGACATCAAATAATATATTAACTGTATCATGACAATGATTTTAAATTGTGACTTGTAGATGATATAGTCAAACACATCATAGAAAAAAAAATCTGTTCCATGACATAAGAACTGCTGTAGGTATACTATTCATTTCAGAAGGACTGGAGTTATCCACTTACCTTCTAAGAGGTGCCATTGCATACATAAATTTGCTGTAGTCATCCAGCATGGGCCCATGAGTGTGCAGAAGGATAACATTGTAGCCCACCAATGCAATCAACATTATCACCATTTTCAATTCATAATTTATCCTCAGGAAAACAGAACAGGAAATGAGTCCTAATATGCAGCTGTATATAAAATACTGGCAAAGAAAAATCAAATGGAAAATATTTAGAATGTGGGTCTTGAGTAGGAAATCATACATAATAAAATGATCAGACTAGTTTAAAAAACAAATTATTGACTGACCACTTAAGCATGGAATCTATCACAACTTGGGACATCATGGTTTACAGGCAGTCAACAACAACCAAATGCTGGTATTTAGTAAAATAGACCCTTTTTCTTACTAGGCTCCAGTTCACCCAAAACTCAATATAATCCAGACTATGCTTCTAATTTATGATCCCTAGTTTTCACCCTTCGTCACTGTTGATTTACTGTGCAGAAGCGAGGAGTGCCTATTCATGGGTCACCACTGTTGGTGTTGAAGTCTAATGCAAGAGCCTACTGCCAGCAGACTGACAAAAGATTTATTCCCGTGCTACTATACGTTTTTCACTTGTGCTTGAGTTCAATAACTACCCTGTATGTATTACTAGCATAAGGGTCAAGGTAAAATGTCTAAGGATCTGAAAACAACAATTTCATTGCCTATATCTGCAGTATTTATAAATTGATGCATTACGCAGTTGTTATGAACCTCACAGATATGCAATTTTACAAACCCTAGAAATAAAGCTAAGATACGAAGAATAAAAAATTATTAACATGGCCTATGCATAATATAAATGTAACAAAATCCTTCTGTCAAATCCTCTTGAGTTATGACTACATACGAACACATTCAATTGTTAAAAAAGCCTTTTCTTTCCTGTGTCATACATATCAACAAAAACATGTACGGTTGAAGTTAAATTCCCGGAAAAATATTTTCTCTGGATACTTTCTGAAAATGGACTAGGGCGTCAAAATTTATGCTAAAACAGGAATAATACATTTTCACTAGAATCATTATCTTACTCCTTAACATACAGCACCTTTGCCAAAGACACTTCCTGAAAATTACAGTCCTGGACCTTGTAAGGAAGTTATCTTTTCTGAAACTACAAAGGATTCTATTTCTAGATGGGCTATTTTCAGACTAGTGTTGTCTTGTTGATAGCAGTACTTTTGACAGAACCTGAATCACTGTATACTAATTTTGGAGGATCGCTAAGAAGAATAATTTTCACAGCACCCATCAGACAGAATTGATCTGCCATCTGAATCTCTGCTGTTACTGTAATTTGCTTGCAGATCTGCTTGAAATAAGACATAGAAAGAACTGCTGTTCAGAATCACCAAAACTAAAACTGCTCTGATGGCTTCATTCCACAGGAGGTCACAGTCCAAATTCAGTGTTACGTAAGAGTAGCAGCATCTATTTTTCAGTCTGTAAGGCATTCCACTTGTGAAATTAGTTTTCCAACAAGAAATAAGCAAACAAAAGGCAGTCTTGAATCCACAACTGGGTGCAGTTCGACAAAGGCCAAGAAACTTCCAAGCGGAATAGACAGTCTCTGTTAGTGTTCCATAGGAATACATAAACTAGATTGAAAATCTTAGCTAAGATTTCAAACAAGGGTGGATGGATCAGAGAAGAGTGTCACAGCCACACATTAAAGAATGTAGACTCCGATACTGTGTATTGCAATGCAAGATTCCAGTAAGCAACAAGCAGATCTGGAAATGAGTCTGTAGGCAACTCTGCTTGAACAGCCACACCAGGTTATGCAGCTTTTTTTTGAAAATGCCACCTTAAATTAACCTTTTCCCAACTGTATCTTACAGATATTCAAGGCTATTGCTTCTGAGTGCTCAACACTGCAAACAAATTTTTCCATTCCTGTCAAAGGAACTGAAATTTCACCCTTTTAATAACAGAATTTGCAAATTTTAGTAGATGCTTGAAGAATTGTAGCTCGAATCCTTTCTAACCCTTTCAGCTTTTCAGAAAAAAGGGCTTGAAAAAAAATTGGAGGAGGAAATGCAAGACAAAATGCTTCAAAAGATACACTGCAGAGGAATAAAGGCAACTGATACTCTAGCTAGCTTCTCTGAAGGATGCATGCAGCTACAAAGCTGGCAAGACACCGGAAAACAGTAACAACTTGGCTAAGGAACAGTCAAAGCAGCCATACAGAAAATCAGGACTGGTGGAATAACTGTCACATGTGTAGCATGAGAGCTCTGGTCTCTGTCAAAGCACAAAAATTGCAAGCTGTCAGACAAATGGCAGCCTGGGCCAAGCGGACTGCTCGCACTTCATCAAATGAACGTGAACTTTCCTACAGAGGAATTAATGCCCAGCTGGGAAAAAATTACAGCTTTTGTGTGCAGGTACACTGGGCTTGTTTCTTAGTGAGGACCCATTTCAGGCGTGTTCATCCTACACCTCCGTACAACCGACTGAAGAATAAAAAGGGCTCAGACTACACAGGCATTGAGGCCTGTTCCAAGGCAGAGAGTTGCAGTGATACCAATCCTTTGCAGTGACCCTGACCGAAAGATCAGAGCATGCTGAAGAGTTGGCAAACCACATAGTGGTGGGGCTGAGCAGGCACAGGTCCATGCTGTGCTCGGCATCCCCCTTGGCCATGGGATAACCTCAGCCAGCTCAGCCAATTTATTGCACCCATGGAGCCTGCAGGCAGCTCCCACTTGGTAGCGGTGGTGATGCCACCTGGGTGGCCTCGACTTCATCTAACAGTGCAGCAGCGAGTTCTCATGGACATCGTCTTTGTCTGACAGCAGAAATGATGAATAGAAATGTTTCCTTTTAAGAAAATCCAGTAAAAGCTGAGCAGAGGAAAACGCCGGGTAACCATTCCACAGATGAGGTCTGCACCACACGCCGTCCCTGACTGGAGGACCATCCGATGCTGCACAACTCAGAGTTCCCAGCATCCAAAGGGATGTAACTCCATCTACCCTCCCTTTTCTTCCTGTGCTAGTTCCAATGAATGGTATTTTAACCAATACCTTCCAGAGTCTGAGCGCCTTTCTTACTAGGATCACAGGCTTAGTGCCTTGCACCAGTGCGCTACACCCTTAGGATCTTATCTCCAGTCCAGTGTGTTTGGTCTCTTCTCTTAAAATTTAAGATCTACAGTTCTGTGGTTATAAAGATCTTTACTAAAGTAAAAAGGGATTCTATGCCAATATGTCTATGAAGAAAAACTTGAAGATAAAGTAGGTTTGGAATTCCCTAGTCAAATAAAGTGTATTCCAAAACTGCATCTTTTAGAAGTCAGTATTATGACTTTCATTTATTTAACATGTGGAGATGGCAGCACTGATACCACACTGTATTTTATCACAGGAAGAGAAATGCACGACTTGAAATCTCCCAGGCCTCACTCCTATTATATGGAAACTAAAGAAGCATCATAGCAAAACTAATCAATAACTAAACACAAGCAAAGTCCCTAAAACTTACTGTATAATCTTTCCTAAGTCTTTAAAAAGAGCAAGAAAGCAATCAATACAAATTGGAAAAGTTATTTTAGGGGGTGGAACAGGGGAGGAATCAGTATGCTTCAAAATGAACTAAATTCTATGGGGCTGAAATAATGAAAAAATCAGAGATTTTTATCCACTCATTTTAGATGACATAGTCAATAGATCTGTCAGGTCCACTATCATAAATCACAGTAAGTTTAACTGCATGAATAAAGCTTAAAGCTAACACACAGATTCAAAAGACTAAATTTTTAATTTAAGGAAACAAACATTTGTCAGCTTAAAGAGTCAATATCTCATTCAGTAAAGACAGAATCATTTTATTTCCAGATTAAAAAAAAAAAAAAAGATCGAAAGTATTAACTCCAAAAGAATTTTAGCTTTTTCAAGCTAGAAGTTATGCAGTGCCTGAGGATGAAAATTATGTGCATTTGAGAGCTGTTTAATAAAAGAAGTGAGGGAAAATGTGTTTAAAAACTTTAGCCAACCTGACCTTTTCATTTATTATTATCAGAAGTGGCATTTAAACATAACATTTGTGCCAATTTATCAAAGTTTCTTTGATGAAAGAATGCATTTCAATAGTTTAAGATCTATAAACCACTAATCGTTAAAAATGTGCCAATCATGTGAAGAGCTGACAAACATCTTAGTTACACACGGGAAAACAAAGGAAAGAGGTACACAAGTTTTTTTGAAGAACTGCTACATCTTAATAAGAAGTATAATTTATGAAAACTGTATCCTTCAGATGCTTGTTGGAGAACTTACTGGTAAAAAAGAAAACAAAATACCTTTAAAGATGTTCAAAACTATAACAAGTAATACAAGAAAGATGACTAGAAAACCTGAAAAATGAAAATGAAAAAGCAAAACCTGAAAAATTAAATGAAAAAGCAAACCCAATTGGAACAATTTATTTCTGTGTGCTTCTGAGTGTGAACATATGCAGAGGCGGGGAGAAGGACTGTATCGCATCTTTGACAACAAAGGTAACTTGATGTCAGGGCCAAAAGAAGATGTAGGCACCTATCCATACCTGGTGGTATTTAGTTAGAGAAATTTAAAAATGAGAAACAGAAACTTATGCTCCGCTGTTGCTTTATCAGGGAGATGCTGAAAGTTCTTTAGTGCTGCAGTTACTGCAACTGTTTGTTTGGGTTTTTTTTCCAGAAGAGTTCTATACATAATTAACATCTCGCTTTTGTATGTGCCTAGGATTGTTTAGCTTGACATACTGAATAGCTGTTTCGTGTAAAACATATTGGGTGGAAATCAGCACACACCGTTCTGGTACTGGTCTCATCAATTCTGCATAGCGATAATCTCCTTTCTCCTCTCACTGCCTCCTACTTATTCACCCAAAGACTATTGACATATTTTGGCACAATATACAGCTTGTTATGTTCAACTGCAGGTCTTTTGTAATTCCTTTGAGAATCATTCCTCTCTAGGATACAGATCCCATTTTTTGCAGGCATGTCCTTCCCTATCTTCTTGCATGTGCTGCTGTGCTTTTGTTCATGCTAAGACATCTTCTTCAAATCAGCTGAAATTTTTTAAACTGTTTATATAGTGGTACCCGAGTGTTGTATTTCCACCCTCTCACCTCACCTCTTAATCAAATATGCAATGACAGAAGTGTGACGATCACAGATTTCACATTTACTGCCAGGCCAATGATGGAAGTTGAGTTGAGGTGAGTACGTTCAGGTCTACCACTGGTCCTTGTGAAACCCGTCTGCCGACCCACCTGGTTTTCTCACTGACAGCGATGTGGAGCTTTCAGTGCACAGTCTGCTTTGCAGTTGTTGTGTGTTCTCCTGATATCTCGTAAAGCCCATTTGTTGGCATGGGTGAGATACGCTTCTTAGTTATCAGACTGTTTCCTGCTTTTTAATCTGACATTCATTAAAACCTCTATTTTCAGAAGTACTAACCTCCTTTAACTTCCCACTTTCTTCAAATGCTGTTTCAGGTGCTTTTTTCATGCTTTTGCAGCAGTCTTAAAAACTGGTGGGTGTTTAACTTCAAGCAGATCCAGCAACAGTCAATTTAGTGTAATTGTTGTAAACAAACAAAGAAATGTAAAATGAACTTACCGGTAGGAAAAAACAGTTGTTTTGTATACACCACCGTGTCTGATTACTTGAATTAGGAAAACTTGCGTTTGATGAATTAAGAACTGAGGGAAAAGCTTTCACAGCATTATCCAGGAAAAACTAGAGAAAAACAACATATAATCCATTAGCTTGTCAGCTGTTTAAGGTCAAAATAGAGAAGAGAAATGCAGAAGCGGAGGAAGCCTTGCCAGTAATCATTTAACTTTGGTATTTCAGTGCAAATTGAAATAGAAAAGGGAAAATGACATCACTTGATTACTTGTTCCTGCATGCTCAAACAAAAACAACTTTGTTAACCTCCATCTGACACTCTCCATTTGAATAAAAGACGAAAGGCTCTTTGTTATGTTACTTTCATATATCAAAAGCTCACACACGCGAGAGACAATGATGAAATAAATTCAATATGAATAATTCCTGGGTTTACTTCAGCTGAACCTCCTATTTAAACACAGGAAGAATTAAAGAAAGAGTAAGAAGTTTTTACTGAAGTTGATGTACACAGATGTAATCCTTCTCATAACAATGACAATAATATTGGTACTAATGTTATTGAAACAGAAGAGTGGAACTAGTATCTCCTGGGTCACCAAATTCAGCCAGAGGATGTCACAGGTAGCCACCATCATACAGTACCCTTTGTTGTTATTGATCCAGTGCTTTCTTAACAAGTTAGATTTGACTATATTAATTCCACTGCTTTGAATCTCACCACTTAAACTGTTTCTAAGTTTAACCAGTATTCATGGCCAGTTCCCATGTTTTTTTTCTGCCTGTTCTAATCTCACCTTTTAGCTTTCAGATAGCTCCTTTCTCTCCCTAGTATTTACGCTGACAACATTTAATGCCATCTCAGCTTTCACTATGCTCAGCAATGTTATGTTTTTCTAGTTTATTCCCAGAAAACAAGCTCTTCTTTCCCCTAATCATTCTGGTAGTCACCCTCTTTCAGTTCAACCTTCTGGGTGAGCAAAACTGCAAACACACTTCCCAGATTTTATCAGTGAGTTGTGCAATAATATTAATACTAATTCTGCAGAAAGTCTGTTTTCATACATCCTAGAATGACAGTTCCCTTGCTTACAGCTACAAAACCTCAATAGCTCACTGTACCCCATGCAAGTGGGGCTCAGACAGATCATGAAGTTCTATCAGCTTAACACATTGCTGCACATTGACATAATCCCATCCAAATGTGAGACAGTTTTCCTTCATTGGGGCTCACTTAGCTAAATGTGATTTATACTTAGCATGAGTTAAGAGCAGTCACATGGGTGGTTATTGTGATTCAGCTGAGTTGTCATTAAACCCACATAATTAATCAAAATCCTGAACTCATCGCATCTCTACCCGATGAGCTTCCAACTTGTATCAGAGTTTCTTGCCACTGATCTGTCAGACCAACTATAATCTTGCACTCTCTACTACATTTCATCCTAGTTCTTTTACTCAAATCTTCAGCTGACTTCTTGCTTTCTAATATCCCAAGCCTTCCCTCACAGACATTGCCTGTCACCTTAATTTCATCAGCAAATTTCACAGTCCCTCTCATACACTGTATATGAAAATCCACACTGGGCTGACCATTGCAGAGCTCCACAGTTTTCCTCCCTCTCACCCATTGTTCTCTGCATGTAGCCAGTTTGTAAACCACCTCTAAATTCTTTCCCCATCCCTGTCTTTACCTACTGCCCCAGAGAAAAACTGCTCAGTTCACTCAGAGTAACCGAATCTGGATCAAAATGGTTTACTGATTTACTACCTGACACTAGATCTGGTCAGCCACAGTTCTGTGTAGCCAAGTCCTGGAAACTTCCACGGATGGAAACCCCACAACACCCCTTGGCAACATGTCCCAGCACTGTACTACCTGCATTGTGACTTTTTTTTTGTTTTTAAAGACTATCCAAGCTGTTGAGCCACTACCCATGGTCAGCGCTCCTTGATACGTTTTGTGGCGCTTGCTGAGAAGTTTGGAACCATTATCAATGTAACACTGCTTCAACAGAAGCAGGACCAGGTATGAACTCGCAAAGGTGATCAATACGCCATCTGCTACCAAGACTCTTTTACATGAAGTTGGCACGACCTCTGGAGTAAACGCAAGAATGGTCTCACCTTTGTTTGCACAGTTGCACTTTCAGGTTGTCTTCTTTTACAAACGTGCTCCTCTGACTGTTTATGTGCAACTACACATAATTAACCCGCAATCAGTGAACTATACAGAAATTGTATAATTGTAATCTGTTGTATCAGTGATACAACAGATAAATCACAATACCAGTCCCCACATAATGTTAATAAACACCTACAACTTTTGAAACACCCTTCCGTAACTGATCCCAAAGAGCTCTAATCATGCACAGGCACAGAGTTATATGCACACCCGCCCCTTCTCACAGGATGTGTGGGTTAAACGCACACGCTCCCTCTTCTGGGAAGTGTGGGTTACCCTCCCTGCACACCCCTCCCGTGAGGAGACAGGAATACTCCAGCTTTATGTGTACCTGTGCAGCTCCCTATGAATTGTTAATGCACGTGCTGGTGAGAAAGCGCCCCGTGAGTTCCTGTGCACAGACAAATCTGCGGTGTGGGTCCCTGCTCGCGGCCCCCCACGCTGCCACCCCACCAGAGGCAGAGCCCCCAGTGTCTGACGGGGAGTATGATGCCAGAGGGGTGACTTACGGCAGCGTCAAACCAGGTTTCAGGCAGTCAGCTGTTTCTACTCACAGGTCTCTGCCTCCTGTTAGGAAGCTCCACACTGCTTTTATACTTTTTTTTTCCACACTATTTCCTTCTTTGCTTCAAATTCCCTTTGAAGTGGCTTGGTTTCTGTTTAACGCAGCTGATGCTGGACTCCTCTTTAACAGGAACAGTTTGGGGCAAATGCCCTCCAGACAGTTTTTAATCCATTTTAATTTATTTTTTTAAGTATTTAATCCCTCTCCCTGCCCCAACTATTTACACTGACATTCTCATCTTAATAGGTGTTTTTAACCAGGTCATTTGCCAAGGGTGGGCAAAGGCAGTCTCCACATCCCACTAATAGCGCATTTACGTTTTTTGCAAACATGAAGTAACTGTATTTAGTTTCAGAATCCCATCCCACACATGTCTACAGAGCAAAAGATTATATACCATGAAGAACTTAAACACAATTACATTATATATATACACATATATGTGTGTATATATACATACATCCATTTCTATTAAAGCATTTTAATTTTGGTTTTGAGGTTTTTACAGGGCAGTTTTGACCTATAAAAGTTATCTGTATATATAGAATGCTACGTGAAATGCGACATATCTGTGAATACATAAATAAACATAAAAAGGAAAAAAAAGACGATATGGAAATGTTGTCATCTCCCATGAGCCAAACAACACTTATTTCTGAATGATGTGTTTGTACTTGTCTTTCTTGTCTCTCATCAGTTATCTACATCTGCTATCACGCTTTAGAGCTATATATTGTTCTTCAACATAGTATTTTTTTGTAAGAGACAGCTCAGTCCTACTAAGCAGTCACACCTACTCAAATGACTCAAATGAAAGCAATATTTTTAATGAATACAAATGTTTGCCAGGGAACATCTGAGCACACTACCATTAAATTCTCATTTTAACTTCATATATTCTAACAGCTTTCTCTTCTCTTGTGTTCATATAATCTGCAATCTTCAGTTGTGAGTTTTTTGCCTCATATGATGAAAATACCTGCTGTGCTGCTATTTCTTTCTTTCATGCTATGTCACCATGTGGTGACAGACCCTCCCCCACAACATGGGATAAGCAAGCTAGTGCATCTCTCTTGTTACCTGACCTAGAATCTGCACAAGACTACATAAAACACTAGTTTAGATCTTGCTGAAAACAAAGCCAGCCTTCTCACCAAGGTACTTTCAGCCCTTCTGTACAATCCACAAGGCACCAGAACCAAGGCCTCACAAGGAACATGGTGGATAGCCTGTAAATGCTGTCAAGTCAAATGGGTTGTATCTCACCCTACTAAGCAAGTGGGCTTGCTGATTTCCACGTTAATGTGCATAAAATAGCATCCTACTAAGAAGAAGGAAAGGTGTCAGAATTTAATATCAAGTGCACTAATCAAATGCACACAGGATTAAACAATTATGGAATAAACAACAAAATGAGTAAAATTCAAATAGTTACTATGTGAATGCATTGAGCCTGTGACAGGTGGGCAGGAGGGAGAGAGCTGGGAAATACCCCTCCATTGAACTACTGAATCACAGAGTAAACGGCAAAATTAATCAATTCAAGTGCCACAGATAGTTCAACTGTGGTCATCAACCCGTGGTAGCAAGAAGTCTTGCAGTAGCCATCTGTAAAGACAAATGCTACTATCATTTGCTGTGCAAAAAGAAGGCACAGGCTACCCTCAGAACACTACCAAGTGTGCTTTCGCTCACCAGTGAGAAACCCTGCAGCCCAGAGGTAAGGTGTTTAGGAAGCAGGTGCTCCAGGATCAGCAGTTCCAGAGCAGAGCTGTGCTTAATCAATGGAAATACATAAACAGTAAAAACAAAGGTCTGGCACGCTACCAATAAATGCACCACAACTCAGCTTACAGCTTATCACTGTTTTCTCTTCCATATTATACAAAATTACACTGGAAATGGATATGTGAGGACTATAAAGAAAAGTATAGAAACCTTCATTGCCACCATCCCTCTCTCTCCCCACTGACTCCTTGCCTCATATGAACACAGAACTATACTTGAAATTAATTTACTGCTGTTCCAGAAGAGCTATGCAATCTCCTCAAGACACAATGGTCTACAGTTTTTATAGTGCTGTTGTAAACAGTTGCTCATGTTTTTGGCCTACTCTTTTGTTCAGCAAAAGGTAGAGTGAGAAGAGTATACTTTCAAGTATAGCAGAAGCGTGCAAGTCTCGTATATAGGTTGAACTAGAGGATTTGCGTTTTTCTTAGCAAAGAAAATGATGCTTTTGTTCAGCATTGCTCTTTGTTTTGAGCCTCTAAGGCAAACATTCAGGATACCTTTTCTTTGTTTTTATTTTTTCCACCAACTCTCCAAATATCCATGTGGCTCAGGAGAACTTTCTTCTCAAAATGCCTATCACCACTTCCTTTGAAAAATGCCAGTTGGTCTGGCAGCTGAATCAGGAATTTATGCCCAAATACCCACATGAATGCCCCAAGAAAAACCTGGAGAATCCCAAATTCTGGTATCATTCCTCATCTTCGTAAGCTCATAAGCAGAAGTTTAAAGAGACCCTGGGACGCTGAGTACCTACCTAGGCTATTAAGCACTTTTTGAATAAACAAGAGGTGATGCTGAGACATTGGTAAGTTGGAAAAGGATGATGATCTGGAGAGTACTGCACTGTATTGAATAGGATTTTTTGAGCAATTTGTCTCTGGGTTTGTACAAGACTTCTTAGCTTTAAAGTGCTCATGTATCTGCGTTATTTGGTGTCCTGTGGTGTCTCTTGTTCACAGTGAAACTTACCAAATTCAAGTTGGTCAATAATTTCATTTCATTTTTTATAAAAGTTTGTGTGCCAAGTGAAAATGCATAACTATCTATGTGTCCCCCTGTATTCAAGCCCCTGTAGAGGCAATATGCCGTGGGAAGCAACTGCCTTGTTCAAAGCTCCCAGTAGCATCAGGTAAGAGAGGCGAGGAGCCTGCTGGGCTTTTACAGACTCAGATGCCATCATGGTATTTGGCAGATACAGAGGGATGCTCACTTATGTAGGTTCATATCTGATGGACCGTGGAGCAAAGGATCATGTGACAGCATGACTCTCGTTCCCTCCCCGCTCATTTGAAACACATCAGAACTGCTGAAAACATTATCTCAGGGCAATTCGTGCAAAGTGCTTGCGATCTCATCTGCTAGTGCATCTCTGCTAGTCCAGTGTACCTAGACTGATACTGATTTTAGTAAGTTTCTTAAATTCTACCTATAATCTGGGATGGATTTGTGATGGAGCCCTGCATGTCCCAGTTAAATGGCATGACTGCAACTGTGCATTCCCCTTTCTCCTTCTAACTCCTAGGCCAGGTCACATTCTAGGCAGTGCCTGTTTATTCTTCTTAAAAGAAATGCATTAGGCACCCTCCAAAATAGGGTCTTCAATGTGCTAGGCACTGTTGGGACACATAATTAGAGCATATCTGCCAAAGAGCTTGCCTATTAAAAATACAGCACTGAACAAAGTCAGCAGCTGTATTAACAGTTAGCTACACTAAAAGGAAAGTATATTAAATAAACCATCTTTCTACTATGAGAATGGAAACATGTTTGCTTAATTATTTGTCATTATTAAAGCACGGGATATCAGCCATGACTAGAGGGAGAACAATATGGGGCCAATACTTGCATAATTTAAGGCAGCTTATGATCACAGATGTACAGTAAACAATGGAGCAGAAATACTCAAACCTCTCTCAGTCTTCACATTTCTAAAGACATGTTCTTTCAAAGGAAATAGTCCATCTGTTCAAAATTCACTGGATGGAAGACAGGAAGGCAAGTAACACCCTGACTCTGGAAGCTGGTGGTCAGGGCTCCTTCCTGGGACAGTAAAGCCCTGAGATCCTCTTGCTGTGGCAAGGACCTTTCATGCATTTGATGCAGAAGTCACTGGAACACAGAGCTCTAGCAGGGCTCTTTCATCACGCCACTATCACTGTGATCACATGAATCCCAGAGGATGGTGAGGCACAAACATCTGATGTATCAAATACAGTCATTCATTTAGATTCTAAGAGTTGGGCCTTTACAGTCATGCAGTCCTACTGTCTCTCTGAGACATCTGCATTGTTCCCTGCAACGTACTTTCTCATGTTCTGTTTAATGCAGGTCAGCTTCACAAAAACAGACTTCCTCAGCCATTGACTGTTGCCCTACTCGCTATAAGGCACCAGATCTAATGCTCAATGGAAGCAGCATTAGTCATCCTCTCCCTTCAGCTAAGGAGTATTTGATACTTATGTCACATTAGCTGTTTTTTAACTTCCCTGCACTGATCTTGACTATATACCTCTCAAACGTGAAGACTAGATTCAGATGTCTGCTGAAACAGCTAATTTGAAATAAAATTGCACCCCCACTCTTTTCTAATGTCCCTTGACCATAAAGACTGAGTTTTATTTGACATTTTGGTCTTAATTATGATTTATTAGGTGTGGGATGGTTAGACGCTTTTTATCTCCATTAAATCTTAATGGCTACATTTTGCCTTTTTCTACTGAAAGAGTTCATGGAAATAAATGCAGTTAATGGACTCTGCTATTAAGTACATGTTGCTTGGAGATATAATAATGATACTTCAGAGTCTCTCCCACAATTTGCTATTAATATTAAGGAAATGCAAATTTCACAATCACATTTAAAGTCATTTTTTGCTAGTCAAACTATTAAGGTTTAGTTTCAAGGTGGGAATTGTACTTAAAATTATCATCTCATGAATATCACAGAACATGATTATTTGTAATACTGCAGTCATTACTGATAAGGTACAAAGACTTTGAAATACAGCCTATTAAGTTTTACTGTAACATTCAGTCCACACAAAAATGGACTTGAACCAATAAAATTATTTTTTTTTCCTACAAATAATATACTGAACAACTCCCTTTTTGCTAAAATATCTTTTACTAGTTGAAGGCCAAATTTGAAGCGGGCTGAACACAATAGTAGAACACCAGTCTAAGGCAAAACAGTTGCTGACCATATCTTCTTTTTACTTTTTAACTTAATAAATAACCATATGGTTGCATGAACCATAAGTATACTTTAGACCCAAATAAGTTATTTCATTTCATGGTATACATTTACAGAGCTCAAAATAAGAGAAGGTTCAATCTGACCTACATTTTACAAGATACTCCGTCTTGGGGTTTCATCCTGTAGCATGCCAAATAACTTTTGCTTGGCTAAAGGTTATCGTTCATAAAGGCATATAGTCTTCAGAAGAGGACAAGAAGTAATGGAGAATCAACAACTTCTCAGAATAATTTGTTCCCACTGCTAACTGCCTTCACTGCCAAAAAGTGAGCTTATTTTCTCATTTTCCAGCCACTGCCTCTTTGAGTTTTTCCTCTACCAGCCTTAAACACCAAATTCAATTAGATGAATATTAAATTCTTGAGCATGGAATTGGTTTTGGGTCTATCTCATCTCCTCAAAAAAAGCAGGAGAAAGAAAGGGAAATATCTACTTTCCTGAAAAGGAAACCGACAAAAACAAGACTAGGATCATTTAATAGAAAAAAAAGGAGAGAAGGTTCTACCAGAAATTTCAGATGTTCACATTTAAAAGCCCACATTACATCATTACATCATTCTGACAAGTTTAGTGCTTACTGCAACAAATGATTGACTAAGGGTCCCCTGAAACATTATGGGAAAACAAAATAAAACAGTGTAGGTATTATCAATCTTTAAGTCCTTTATGAACTTCAAGTAACAAAAGTACCGCCAACTCAAGGAAGCACTAGAGTTGCAACTTCAAAAGCACTGAATTGCAAATCTCACTCACTTGAAATGGGACTGCATTAATGTTGCAAGGAAAACATTTCCTAAACAAATATTACAGCTACCATTTTGCAGATACTGAACTGAGCTGGAACACTTTCACAGGTTTACGAATAAATAAATCAAGCTCAACCCATAGGGAAAAAAAAGGAAGTTTTTTGTTCCCATATCCTGCTCATCCCATTAGACAACACATCCTTCAGAATAAATGAGGACATTAAGATTCAGGCTTTAAGCACACTAATGACAGTTCCACTCTGTATTTGCTATACTCACAAAAGAATAATAGGATTACATGGATTTTCCCTATTAGAAGAGAAAATAGAAGCACAGGTTGAAATGCCTAAAGTAGAGGTAAGCCCTATCTTGTAGTTCAGTACTTTTGATGTTTTGATGTAACTTGGAATTTTTTTCCTTTTTCAAAAAACAAAATCAACCACATGAATTGCAATAATGTATACATTATAATCATTTTGTGATGAGCACAGGAGTGTCACAAATCTGAATAAAGCTTAGCTTGTTTCACACAAAGTCTTCCATACATCCTGTGAGGAGATACTTCATTCTTTGAGCAACACACTGTTTTTCCAAGCAATGCATAGATGAGCAAGGGATTTGAACAATTCACACCTGGGATTTGACTATCTTCTATCCCTTACAAATTAAATTTTTCTTTAATTAACTTAGCCAAGATCTGAGCTCTTGCTGAGCATCCTGTTTGTAGAGGTCTCCATTATACAGTATGTTTTCTGGTGCTCTGCTTTGCAGTTCTGTGTCTGGCAACGCAGGTTCCTGGTGTAGCCATGGGCCATAAATTTGACATCTGAACCAATACTGAACAAAAAAAAAAAAAGATCTTAAAAGAACAAAAAACCAAGAAGAATTACCCCTTTTTCTCCTTACCATGTTGAATACAGCCATCGTTAATATTATAGCAGTGGTTGTCAATGTAAGAGTGATCCGTGGCCAAGGACGGTTTGCAATTATTCCAGATGATTTCAGGATCCACAGCAATGAAGCTGATGCTTTCTTGCTACATTGCTAAGTGCAAAGGGTTTAAAAAAGAGAAATAAAAATAGCTTTAATACATTTAATTACTGTAAACAAGGGTAGAATGAAGAAGACTTAAGATTGAGGGCAGCATTAATCTTGAAACACTGTACAGAAGTATTCAACTGTTATATTCTCATAAGAGTTACAGATCATGATTATACATGAAACTAAATGCAAATTTAGTTAAAATATCTGCCATCAATTCTGTTAAATAATTATAATTTGCAAGCACCTTGTTAAACATTCAATATATATTACTAATAACAGCACACACAGAGTTGACAGCAGTGTCATTACCTATAATATCAGTCAAAAGCAAGCAATCAAACTGACCTCCCCTGCCCCAATTGAAAGGGCAATATTTAGTAGCCTCTGGAAACTTCAAAATGTAAATCATGACTCTGCACCGTCTTTGACAGAGAGACAGAGGTGTCCTCATGCAGGATAAAGGCTGTATACATAGATACATCCCTGGCAGTCTACAAAATAGTGAGGTTTCTAGGGTTTTCTTTCATTTGTTTCATAATTCATTTTAAGTGAATGGTAATTCAGCAAAGCAAATCAACCTTCACTATAGCTACCTGGAAAACAAATAAGCATTTCACACAGCAATCGGACAACAATTTGACACAAAGCATTCAGTGAATAGAATTTTTTTCTCATACAGTGGCAAAAATTAACAATAAAAACCTCTGACTCATTTAACCTGCTTTAAGAACACATTGCAATAGCCTCCATTCATACAGGCATAGTGCCTAGAGGCACAAGATGCTCACACAGAATAAACAACCATTTGTGGCACATCCAATAAACATTAATTTTCCCCAAACTTCAGCAATCAGGACGTAAGGTTGCCTAGAAGCATCTTGTGCCTTTTCCAAATGTCAAATTGAACTATACTGAAACCTCTGTAAAAAAGGCAATTAAAAGTTAAGGTGCACGGCAGTCTTATGAAAGTATTCGCTTTTTATCAACTCGTTTTCTCTATTTACTTAATATTATCAGGGATCACTTTACATACTGTTTTCACCCCATCCACAGCAATCACAAGAGATACAAGCATGGGAACTCAAGCACTAAAAGCTACCAAATATAGGATTTAATTTACAGCACAACTATTAGTTCAAGTTCAATGGCTATGGCACATCACACTAAATAATACTATTACCCAATACATGTGACGTAGTTTACATGAAGGTCTTTGTCATTTTCCTCCTAATTACACACTATTTGGACAAGTCCACTGTATATCTAGAACTTTTGTTACATATTATTTCCTTTTACGACAGGCAGTTTTGCATAGTGGATTGGACAGATTCTGAGTGAATGAAGTCAGTTTCAAGAAGGTCAAAACAATAATCGGGATCTCAAGAATGGACAAAGAAAAGGGGAAAAATAGGCAACTTTATATATACCTTTCTTCTCCCCCATATTAAAAAAACCCCAAACAAACGTGTAAACTCAAGGGACCTGCATTTTTGAGCAAGAAATTCCTGCTCAAATGCCTTTTTGAACTTCCAAACCTTGTTCTTCACCCCTAAGTACATATCAAATTTCAAGATAATTTGAATCCACATGTAGATTTTAGAAAAGTTTTATCATCCTTCCCACTTTAATAAAGTAAAAAGCACAAAGTCAATATTGCTGCTGTTGGTACAGAAGGGGAGTGTTTAACTGGGTGCAGAGAACAGATCTGTGTGAAAATTAATCATTCAGTTATCTGTCTAGTCTGCCTAAAACCTAATGAGTCAGGAAGCACGGATTTATGGCCAATTAGTACAGTCATGAAATCATGCCTTAAATTTCTCTTTGTGTTTGTTATAGCACACCTGGAACTTTATACTACAACTTCACCAACATTGTTCTGTGATTTTCTTGGAAGTTTAGAAGTAGCTGGAATAGTTTATCTTGAATTAGGGACAAAACTAGGCAGAAACACTGAGAAAGTGTAAGAAATATAAAGTGGGTAAGAAATGACACTGATAAAGCAGTACATCATGTTCTCCTTTCTGAATTACGCTACAGGGAGCGTACCATTCAAAGAAAGTCCTTAGGGTAAGAAATTCCAAGAAAAGAAGCTAAACCAGATAGATTTTATTACAAGTTTTACTGGTTTTAGGTTATCTGAATAAAAGCTAATTAAATTAAACACAAAGACCTGGCGATGATCAAAAGGACAACAATCGATGGTGGAACCAAAGTAACCTAATCAGAGAAGAACAGAAGCCACAGAATCTGCTGCTCCTAAGACCATCAAAGCCACAGTTTCTGATGGGAAACCTACCAAGAAGCGTCAATGAAAAAACTCCCTTTCCAGAAAGCCCTGCAGAGTAAAGGTGATTACTGCCTAAAAGGATAGCTGGCACAGGGCAGATCATTTTGCAATTGAGCAGAGAGAAATTTTGGACTGCATAAAACATTATGGCATGTTTTAAGGGCACTGTGGGTACGTGGAAAACTTACAGGATGTTTAGGAGATGGGACAAATGTGGATCAGGGAGGAAGAAGCGTAGGTAAACGGAGAAGAACGGAGATGAAAGGAAACGGCTGCATGTAAACACTTGTCTAATTGAGTCTATCGCATATGCTTATTAAATTCTATCTCTAACCATCTTCCGTGTAAGTGCAGTCCTTATTCAGAGCCTGCATGCGTGCAAATGCTAGCAAACATCATGCTGGACTAGATGGCAAGTAGCACAGGATGGGTGCCAGCCACTGCAGAAAGAGAGATCGCATGTCTGAGGCAACTGAGGGCCTGGGTGCCAGCAACCAGTGTGTCAGATCCGTCCCTGGGGAGACCCATAGTGTGTGGGGGGGAGTGTGTGTGCAACCATTAGAATACTTCAAGCTGGACTGGCTGAAGTAGGTAGGAGATCCGCATTTGGAGAGAGCCAAGGTTTGAGCCAGTCACTGCGTAAGGGGGGCAGAGGGTATTATACTGACTTGAAGTCCATATTGAGTGACGCACAGGCGAGTGTGCCTGTGGGTCATGACAATCAGGGTATGCATGGATTCCGCTAGGAAATGTCCGTCCTGATCAGCCAGAAGGGAAGAACTATGCCATCAGTGTTGTTCATATTTACATGACCTCTGCTTGCGTTTACCTGGGTGCTGGTAAAAGAGCTGCTCTCCCTAAGTGGTTGTCCCATGTGTACAGTATATGCCCGTGTGTCTACTGGGAATACGTGCTCAGCCTCACTACTGATTGCACCTGGGACATGCTACTGACAGCCTCCCATTGATGGGAGCGAGAGAGGAGGACCCCCCAGGGTCTTTAATTCCATCAAATTGGGCTCCAGTGGACCACGAAGGAGCACTCGCCTCGCTCTTGAACCCCACTGGATTCAACAAGCTCTAGCAGGTCTCATTTTCATTTTCAGAACTTTAAAAAACATGGCTCAGTAACAGATGCAAAACAATGTCATAAAAAAGATGCTTTCATGTTTTTCTAGTGCTAAGCAACGTAAACTGCTGGTTTTCCCTGCACAAAAAAAATTGTTATGTTAATTCTGAAGATAAAGTTAAGTTTCACACAGAAAATCTCCCTTCAATCCTAATATCTAATTACACAAATGTTGGTGTCAAATGACGGAGACTTCTCAAACTTTTCTACTTTAACATCACTTCCAATTGTTAAATTTGAACTTTCTTCATTTTTTGAAAGTAATAATTGAAAAAATTACCGTAGTATTGCTGAGATTAGCAATGTCCATGCTGAGAACTGCATTTATAGCTGAGGACTGCTTTACTGCTTTCCAAGTACCTGTACGCTTTTGAACAGACTTGTGTAACTTCTGTACCAAAATTCCTTGCAATAACTCTGAATTTCCTTTGTTTAAAAGATTTTTGATCAGTATCACCTGACTTTGCTAATGTATTTTAGCAAGGAGGAACTAATTGGACTGATTTACTACATCTACTTAAAAAGATATTTTTTCTGCTTTCTTTTAAAAATAAAATGTTCTCTGGGCAAGTTTATCACTAAGAAAAGTTCTGAAGAATAAAATAAATTTCAGGAAACAGTATATCACTCAGCCAGTGTGATTAATCCGTAAAGAGATTCCATTCTTCCAGCTGCTGTTGCTAAAATTACAGATATCGCTGGCTCTGACCTGAAGAAAAATGTGAGTGTTGTTAGACTGCAGCTTCAAAAATGGAGTTGTAGACAGTTATTTCCCCTTGTAAAACAGAAGCACACCAGAACTCAGTGACGCATTTCTTGACAGGCTGTTTAATGCACAGCTCTCAGTTCTGGAGGGGAAGGACCACTGTTTATTTGGTATATCTGTCATGCTCACCTGGTTTGTTAAATAGATGACAGGTCTCTCTAATAGCAGAGAGAGCAGCCTACGTAGGTTAAGCCAATGAGGGAAATTTGTGACAAAACCCTGGTTCACACTAAAAATCTTTAAACCATTGAGTAGAAATTCCTTGGAAAACATGAAAGAATACACTGCTGATCAGTAATTCTCTATGTGAATGAGCAGATTTGCTGAACTTCATTTCACTTTTAAGCAGTCTAAATCCAGTCCATGTATAGTAAAACTGCAGCAGTTCAGTACTGCTGAAAATTTAGGGAACTCCTGGAAGCAGAACTGGAGTGGTGGGGTGAACATCAAATTCAGACTTTTAATAGCATTGGCAGAACTATGCAGGTTTATTTTGCTGATTCATTAGCTTATGTCAAACACTGTTTCTTGTAAATGTTATGTATCATTTGCAATTTTCTTAAGAAAATTGCAAATGAAATGAAAGGAAGAAAGTAATCATTTCTAGAAAGCATGCAAGAAGGGCAGGACATCAGATCTCAGCAGCGTTAGCTTCTGTGTTTATGCTAAGCGGAGCTGGCAGAATATGGTTCAGTGTTTATCATTTACCAACTAGAAATAATAGGTGTTTGTAGTATGAAAGGTGACTAATGTATTACCTTTTCATCTGAACATGTTAAATCTGATATGACAGCTCAGCATGATAGTGAGTAATAACTT